CAATCAAAACGGTTCGCGAAATAAATAAATATAAATGGGAAATCGAGGATAATCGTCAGTAATGGAATACATCAAAAACCATAATCATAGATTCGCCAGAATTTATTAAATGGAAAACCAGTAACATTCAAGCTGGACAAAACCGTACAAAGCCACTGGTTCACCAGATTTAAAAAAACTAACCATAAAATTAAGAAATATTAGTATATATTTAGTTAAAACGATTCGTGAGTTTAATTATTTCATTTTCTCGAAAAAGAGAATTTGCCATGTTATGAAAGGAATAAATCTTTTAAGTTTGCCAGAAATGAGAAATCTCAAAATCCCCAGTATCAGATGTGTGCCATTTTTTTTCTTCTAACACCGCTGGCTACAAGGGTAAGGCATCTTCAAGCTGCTCGGTCCGACGCCATCGCTAGTAGTAATAGAAACCATTCCTTTTTCCATCGTCTAAATCCATATATCGCTGGTCCCTTTATATGTTTTTTTCTGGCTGTACCAGTCCAGATCTCAATTGGTCATGCTCGCTTTTGACGCCATCCATCACACGGTTTAGCAAATAACGATATATGCGATAATTCTTGTGACGGAGAATGACCCTAACCAGCGAAGGCGATAATATTATTAATACAGGTAGTATTTGAGCGAAGATGGATACAATCATTTGCGATTTTATTGCGTTCGACGTAAAATGTACCATCGACATGAGTGGTCAAAGGCTAATAACTTCTCAATATCTTCCACTCTCATTAGCCATGTTTCGCAGCCATATAGCAAGATGATAAGAGAATTGCAACTATATGAACGAGGATTTCCGTGGTGATTCCGCGGCGGTTCCATAAAGGTTTCATCAACGCAAAACATATTTCTGGCTGTCGTTATGTGTGCCATTACAACATCATCCGATAAAGGGCTTTCTTGAATACAGTAGCGATTCCCAAAACTTTCTAATTCGCTATTTATTAAGTGCTAAATTCTTTGTTGCAAGCCGAAAATTATATATTGACTTCGACTAAAATCATTTCTAAGTCGTGAGGACCAGTATACAGTGTTGCCGAATTGAACTCTCGAATTTGTTCACAAGGATACGCTCAGTGGGCCAAGCCAATAGCAGCTGCCTAAAAGGGAGTTTCATCAGGAGAAGATATCAAGTGCTACAGTTGATGATGGTGTTATAACATTTGCTAAATGATATGATTCTGGTACTACCATTCACATATGAAATGGTCTAAAAGGCAACGACCGATGATAGAAAAGAAATCTTTTCTTAAAATGGTCGGAAATTCCGAAATAATTGTATCATAAAAGCGTTATAAGCGTTATAAGCATTATAAGCGTTTTTCTCGTTTGCTTCGTTTTGTCTAATTTGGATCAGCTTTCATCCTTTGCTTGAGTCAGTTTTTTCATCGTTTGCTTCATTTTCTAAGATTATTGTTCATATTTTGATTCATTGTAGAGTCAGTGTTCAATGTTGGTTTTATGCGCGGTAGCAGTTTCACAACCACTCTCATTAGCCATGTTTCGCAGCCATATAGCAAGATTAAGAGAATTGCAACTATATGAACGAGGATTTCCGTGGTGATTCCGCGGCGGTTCCATAAAGGTTTCATCAACGCAAAACATATTTCTGGCTGTCGTTATGTGTGCCTCTCCTTTTTTTTCTAATTTTTAATTTACTAGGCTAATATATATTTTCGCATGTCGTTTTATTATATTGCTATCTGGATAGCAATAAAACTTTCAACTGGTTGTAAATTCTGATTTCAATTCGTAAAACCATCGGCAAGTACATAAGTCATTCCTTTTCCTTGCAAAAATTTTTTCTATATGAATTTATCAAAATTTTTCACGATATGGCCTAAATTGGTCTAGTTTCATTTAAAAAATTTAAAAACTTTCCACATTTCATAAGCGTCAAAGAATTTCCTTATGTTCGCAAATATAGTCGTAACACCAGCTGTGTTTCCAATCAAAAACCATGGTTCAATTTCACCGTATTATGAACATATACGAACCTCAAAGATGAAAATCCTTTCCGTTTTCAAGTTTACGCCATTTCTCAGTAAAATCTCAGTAAAATTATAGAAGAATTTGTGAAAGGTTGCCAATTATCGGCTAAGTCTCTTAGTAAGATTCAACTTGCAATATGGCCAAGTCCTCAACAGCCATGGTCTAGAATCCACTTTAATTATGCTGGACCAGTAAAGGGATAACAAAGAATAACATTTCTTACCAACTGTTGATGCTTTCTTGCGTTAGCCAGAAATATTTCAAGCAAATATCATACATCAAATATCATGCATTATCTTCCAAAAACAATTTCATAAATAATTCTCGCTAAGAAAAAAAGCCAATTATTAAAAAGCGATAGCGAAAAAAGATTGGTTTTAGAAATTAGAATGATTGAGTACACTCATATTATCGTGCCAAGAGGCGAGAATTCGGTCCCTTTTAGGAATAAATCTGTCAAATCCGGAATGAACTGACAACTCACCTCTACTTATAATGTTTCCGATAAAAATTTATAATAACCATACGAACAGCTCGTTCATCTAATTTCTCCTAATTTCAGTTTTATATTAGTGATTCTTAGCCTTTTTCTCTTTGATCCCCACACAGATTTGCTCAGCACTCAGCTCCTTGTTCCTTCATTCAGGAAGTTCCATTTTTGTTGAAGGACAAATAAGGATTGGGATGATGATCCATAATTGATAAAACCATACCAAAAACCATAAGATAAAGGATTTCAAAGGATTCTTTTTTTTTCAAATTAACAACTGAACTTTGTTCCTTGAGAGAACATTTGCTACATTTAAATCAAGGTAGAAAACAAGATAAACCAATTTTTATTTCGTCTAAAATAAACATGTTTAGGAAGATTTCGCTTTAAACTTTGATATTACTTTAATATTCCCTTATTATCTTCATCAAAATCCTCCAACACTCCCATCTTCACGCTCCATTTGGATCTTTAACAACAGCTAAAATTCCTTTATACTACTGGATCTGCTATTAAAATCCTTTGATGAGGTATAATATCTCGTTGTAATATAATCCTCCATAATTCTCGTTTTCATGGAGTCCTTTGTCGCCCACCATAAGCGTTAACTCAAATTTCGCTATTTGCTATTTGTAGCTGGTTACGTGGACCAATCAAGATCTGAAGTGACACAGTAAACAAGGATTTTAAACGTATTGATGGACCAGCAGTATATGGGCTTAGATAATGAAAGGAAAGGCTTCTATTACTGTCGACTTTGGCTTCAGGTCAAACAACTTGGAGACGCCTTAATTTTGTAGTCAGCAGGGCCAGCCTAAACAGTAATGGTGAGAACTGTTAGAAGAAGAAGAGCAGACTGACGAGCTGGTGAGATTGCAGCGAAGCCGATTTCGACAAGAGACCTTCTTCCGGAGCACACTGAGCCGACGACGAGCTGGTGGGCGTTACTGGAGCCATTCTTTAAAAAAAAATTATAAAGTAGCGAAAAATTGTCATATTTCACAAATCACGTAAGTTTCGAAAAAATGTAAAGCATTTTAAAAATAAACTGAGATGAAATATGATATCGTTTTGAACGAAAATTGCGGGTGATGGTACGAAGCACTCTGGTCTTCCACTTTTCCAGATTTTCCAGATTCCAGATTTTTTCCAGATTTTTGCCCGCGGCTCCCCAGGGACGTTCCGTGGTCCCATGGGAGATTCGTTTGACCCGTCGAGAACCATTATTTTGCGTTACGACGGGACCAATCCTTTATTCAAACAAAATGTTCTAACAGTTCGATGGTAATCCATGTCCAATTCCTTTAACACGAAACGTGATTCAAAAATTTATAGCTATTCTCAATCTCTCAAATTCAAAGTAATTCGAATAGCAGCTAAAAATTCAGAATATGTGCTTTGATCACGCTTTACAGGATTGCTTGTTCGGGATGATTACAGGATTCAGGGTTATTTCAGGATATGAGTAACATCTGAAATTTTTTTTAAAAATTCATGAAGGGAAGAATTTTTCTCAATTTTCTGCGTGAAATTTCTCGTTATTTCGCGCAATGCGGTCCTAAAACGAAAATCGATCTTCTTCGATTTCCTTTTTCCGAATATTTTATGAATATTTTACGTCTCCGTTTTTGTTTGTTATTTATTTTGGGATGGAATGGGTCGTGAATTGGGTCGTGTTTAGCCGGCAATTACAGCCGTAGGCGCTGAACCTATTAGTTTCTCTCCTCCTCACTGGAATCCTTTCTGGTTCAGTTGGCGACCGCTAAGCTCTTCAGAGCCTTTCTTAAAAGAGAAGCGTGTCGGATTTCGCATCTAATGATTAAGATTGCGTGCTATTTTGTGCGCTAGTGAAGTAAAAGATAAAGCTGCTGAGCTGCGCCTCTTAAGAGGGTTCTGCGTTTTAGTGAATCCGTAAAGTGTTAAAAATATTGACTACCACTTTTTTCCTGAGAGTGTTCGCTGTTCCGGTTAGGGTCCTTTCGCTATTTCGTCGGACTAAACAAATTTTGCAAGAAACTTGGCGATGGAAGCAAACGTGGATTGCTAGATTCACTCGGTTTTTTCGATAGTCGTGCTATTAGTAGAACTCTGTCACTGGCAATTCGAATTAACCCGCTGAATTTTACTGCTCTCAACCTTTCATCATGTTTTTTTATAAAATTATGGTAATAAAAATATATAAAAATTTGTGGTTTTTGCAGTTTTTACAAATTTTTGTCCAAAAAATTCAAAAATTTGCTGCTGGGAACTCACCATTTTGACGAAAATGTCCACTCTAGTAATTGTAACAACTCGATTATCATTTTTTATGTATAGTGAAGAATAAATATCAAATGCTTTGTACGGAGGATACGAATTATAATCGAAATCACGACAATGGTAACCACGATAAGCAATGAACAATTACGGAAGAAAAAGCAACTCAAATAACAAATCGCAGCACAACAAGACATTCATTTCCAACACAACCAAAGAGATAAATAAAAAGTACATTTAAAATATGGGAAAGCATTGGTATGCAAAGCATAGAACGTGTAATGGACATAACATAAGCGATAGAAGTTACTGATAAGCCTGAGATAAATTGAAAATCTGTGGATAGATGGGATTTAAAGCCACATATATAATAATTTTTTAAGTATTATTTTCGAATAGCAGTTTCTGTCGGATAAACATTTCCTGATGGCAATCACTTTTTAAAATTAAGAACTATGAATGGTTTTAGAAGGAGAAATTGTGAAGAAAAGTGAGAAAGTGGAAAAAAGCCACATAAAGTAAAATGCCATTTTTCGACGCTTTCTGACTTTAGGTAAAAAAATAAGAAACAGTCTTAATTTATTTTAACTTTTAGGATAGCTGCAATCAATAAGATGTCTTTTGAAGTTAGTTCAAGATCAGTCGATAATTTAAGATGGAATATTATCAAATATACGAAATTATTTCCATGCCGAATCGTAAGAATTTTTCGAGAGTTGTTTTTCAAATTTTTATGAGGGTCAGCCAAGATGATTCGAGGGTTCATCTTACAGCAAATCTGATTACTTTTCGACATTTCGCTTTTATTTCTTTGGTTTTTACAAATTCTAAAATTTTTTGGTAGTTTGATAGCTTAATTAATGTGGAAAATTTGGAACGACAATTTTTTAAGATTTTCCATCGATTTCTTTAGTCTTTAGCTTTTCTTTAGTCTTTAATGGCCGTAAATATGTATATTTACTTTTTGTGAAATTTTAATAAATTTTGTGATATAAAAAAGTATTTAAATAATAACAAATAAGTTTAAAATAAATAAAGTAAAATTATTTTAATTTGATTTAGGAAATTTGCTCCAATATCGGGCAGTTATTCGTTGTTTTAAATAAATCTCGACGATGTTTAAATGTTTTTAATGGATCTTCTGTTCTTGAAGAGTTTTCACTGATATCGATTCCAAAGCCTATTGTGAAAAGTCGTGATCAGGATTTGCTTTTTCAAGTTAATAAACATGTTAGTGAAATTTATTCATTCATATCCTCATATTAGCCATATTATCAGCCTATTTATTTTCTTTTCTCGTTTCATGCGTTTGTTAGATTTTATTATATCATGCATTTTTTTCTAAGATTTTCATGAAAAGCTTGATTATTTTCATTTAAAAATATTTTTTTTTCAGAATGGTGTCGTTTTAACGAGATTTCGCATCAAATTTATGTTAACAGATGAGCATATAAATATTTCTAATTATATATCATTTTTCATTAATATAATACCATCGAAAGCATTTGCTAATGATTCTTTCTCAAATATGTCGGCTGATTTTATTCACTCGCAACCGGTATTACTTATTTATACTTTTGAATTCTTTTATTAGGTCTTAAATTTGCTTCAAACAAGGAATAGAAGATAAAATACAATAAAGTTTTGTTTCTTTGTTGATAGGAAAGAATTATCTTTAAGATTAGCCAGGATGAATCGTTCCAAGTTACGCAGTCAGGTTCTTTTATTATTGATAATTTTTCACAGCCTCAATATGTGAATCATTTGAACGAATATAATAAAGAATGGTTAGGAAAATTCATCTTTATTCAATAAATTAACGAAGTTATTTCAGTTGTTTTTGATTTTTTTCATGACTTTTTTGAATTTAATCGTTTCATTTATTTTTTATTTGGATTAAGACGGGTAAAAGCCTTACGCTTGCATAATAGAAATAACAATCCCTTGCAATCCTTAAAAAAAGATTAGATAATATCATATTATTTAAAAAGTTCGCATCATGCAGGAAGTGTGAAATCTCGACTTTTACCATCCGATTACGCCCTTCTTGGCTGGTTTCCAATAAATAAATATGAAACAATATAATAAAATTATAAAATTCAGAAGAAAAAAATAAAACCGAATTAATATTTTTATTTGGATCTGTGAATTCATGAACAAAAATTGTCCTAAAACTTTTATCAATCGAACTTTTTCAGTTCAAATTGGCAAATTGCTTTCCCTGACAATAAGTCATCGGAGGTAATGGTTAGTAATCGACTATTTATTGTTCTTCTAATTACTATTTCCAATACGATAATGCTGAATAGGTTATGATATCCTTTCACCTGCTTCTATATATGGAACAAATTTATTTAATATCCTGTTTTTTGCTAGTCAAAAATATTGCTTCGAAATTAGCATATCTTTGAGCCTTTTAATCCGTAAAAAATCTCATAGATCAGGATTTTTTTCATGAATTTTTCTAAATTGATATTTTTACTGTTTTTTGTTAATGTTTTGTCCTTTTTTTTGACGAAATTAATTAATTATTTATTATTAATTACCTAATAGAATAGAGAGTTTATTTAAATAACTTGTTCTGCCGTGCTCTTCTAAGATCTCTCACCATTACTGGTTAGGTTGCGTCCAACGGCTATAAGGATAAGGCGTTTCCAAGTGGCACGGTCTAATGCCATCGTTTGTCGACAGTAATAGAAGCCATTCCTTTTTCCATCGTCTAAGTCAATATATTGCTGGTCCACTTATACGTTCAAAATCTTTTTTAACCGTACCAGTCCAGATCTTGATTGGCCCTTCTCGCTTCTGACGCCAACCATCACAGAGTTTAGTAAATAACGAAATATGCGTCAACTTCTGTGGTAGATGATGGAGAGCGTGCCCCTAACCAGCTAAGACAATGCTCTGTGATTACATTATTAATGCAGGTCGTTTAAAAAACGAAGGTGGATCATTTGATATATTATTCGCTCGACGGACCCATAAAATATACCTTTGAGAAAGGTGGCCAAAGGCAGATAACTTCTTAATATCCTCAACTCTCATTGGCCATATTTCAGAGCCATATATCAAGATCGCACGAATCAAATGGGAGCGCCGATGTTGGGGGTTCGATTTCAATTCTCAGCAGGTGTAAACCTGTACAAAAATCGTGGTGTTGCTGGCGATTCACCTGTATTTCTGTCGCCAAGGGACTCCCTGGCTTATTGTCCAATGCGACAAGCAAGTGGAGCGAGCCTAATCAGTAATGGTGATGACCAGTCATGACTTTTTAAAAAAAAAAATCGAACGAATTACGGCTATATAGATGTGGATTTTTATTTTTATGGTGATTTCATGAAGGGTCCAAAAAGGTTTCGTCAACCGAAAGAACGCAATCCGTGATCCTGGTTGTAATATCGTCTTTTGCCTGGCTATTTGGTACTAGAGTGGACTCAAGGTATTTAAAATCTTACTTCCTCAACCGGCAATAAATTTATAAAGAAAGGCATTTTCTCAGCTTCTTGCACATAAGACAAAAAGGCTATCGTTTTATTTATATTGACCTGAGTCACTGTAGTCACTGACACGTTATTTAGCATTATTTGCATTTCGTCATAACTATCAGCAAAAAGGACTACATCAACGTATTCTGTGAAACTCTGAACTGATTTGGACTCTCTTGGCTGCCAGCAAGTGGTGTCCATCATCCAGTCTATCGCATAGTTAAATATTGATGGGCATCAATTCTTATTTCAAAGGAGTCAATTCCTAATATGCACAAATCTGCGCCGTCGTACGCTCATAAATTCTCTGGAATGTCGTCACCCTCCAAAGCACCACTCTATCAATTGAATTAAAGCCAGCTGAAAAATCAAAGAAACACATGTATTGATTACAACATTTAATATTTAAATGATAATATTTCATTCTCTTTCATTCGTGTATAATTCTACTATTCTATCCTCAATTCCGCTATTAAATTTTTTATTCCAGATATTTTAATCTAAAATAAATTTTAGATTTAACAACTTCGGTGACCAATAAAACGATATTTCTAATTATATTTGCTTTAATCTTTCGTCGATACTATTTTTTAATTTTCTTTTCCTGGTGCAGCTGGTTTAAAAAATCATTTTTTTTCAATCTTACTGAAAAAGCAAAATATTCGCTAGATTGATTTCATAATGATATATTTTCACATGTTATTTTGACATTTTTTTCTTTCTTAAAGTTTTTTCTTGAAATATTTTATAAACAATTGTTATCTTATATTAAATGAGAATGAAAAATGAGAAAGAAATATTATTATTATCACCATTCATGAACATAATTAAAAAAGAAATATTTTTTAGCCTACAAAAAATTTTGCAATGGCGGTCGAACCTTTGGGTGTGCCACTTGCTGCGATGAAACCTAGTGATCAAGTGGTTCCAGTCCTAATTGATCCAAATGTATGGCATTTTTTCTTGCTTTTCATTTATATTATTTATTGTTTAATAAATTGATAATGATAAAAATGATTTTCAAGTGTAGTTAATTAGAGAAAATTTTTGCTAATTTTTGTTAACTTTTGTAAATTATTAAGCCAATTTTTGATTTTACTTTTCTTTAAGGAACGGAAATTTTTGCTAGCGAAGCAAAGAATTTAAGGATCTTAACTAATTTGTTTTTTTTTCGTTATTGCTACAAATTGTCATTTGGTTTTAAAATTTTATTTCGTGAATAAAATTTCTATAAATGAAGCTAATATGGCATGATGTCTAATATAAAATTAATTAATTAGTTTGTTTTATATATATATATATACAAAATTTCATTTATATAAAAATCAAATTTTACTTTCGATATTTATAAAATTTTTCATTAGGTTATTCGATTATATATTTTTATATGATATTATATTTTGAAAATTTATTTATTTTACTTTCATTTTTCGTTTTTTGTTGTACTTTTCCATCTTCCTGTTGATTCTTTATGCTGCAATACCTTTTTTGGAGATTGGCAATTTTAAATTAATAAGTTTTTTATTGATCGAAAAGTATACAATTATTGATATATATGATGTAAAAGTGATTACACCGAGAAGAAGAGATTGATTAATTTTTCAGCTTAGCTTAGCGTCCACTCAGTCTTACGATAATGATTCGATGAATAATCCCTCGCAATTTTCGTTACGATACAGCCAGATATCGAATCACATCAATCCTTCAACAGAAGCAGTAAATTTCATAGATAGTTGTTCAAATATACTATTAAAGATAAAGATAAATCAAGATTTTATAAAAATTTTTCAATTTAGTTTTAAAGTTTTATTCATTTTATTTATATCACATTTTTTCCATGGTTTTCTTTATACTACAGGAAACACAAACGACGAATGATTCCATAACAATAGATGATATGCTACTGCGTGAAGATTTGTTGGAAAAAATATTGTTCTTAAAACTGAATGAGCCTAAATTCATAGCTCTTGTTGAAAAATGCACTGCTATAATGGATCGGATATATACTATTTCTTATTAAAATCGATTTCTTTTTAATTCATGTCGATGTACGATTCCTTTATTTGTAAAAAGGTATCAATTTTATTTACTAAGGGAAGTAAATTTCAAAGAAGAAAATCTTTTAGAGCATTTTTTAAAAGCAATAAAAGTAAATAGAAAATTTCTGATCATTTATTGATTAATTATCATAAATTAATTGCTGAATAATAATAGAAAATTCATTATTTTTATTCACTATTTACGAAGCGAGTGAGAAGCGATAACTTAAAATTCAAAATTTTTCGATTTAAATAACTAAATTTCGAAATAACTATTTATTAAATGATGAAACTATGAAATAGAGTAAATTTCCTTTTTCGACATATTTTCTAATTTTCTTTAGCATAATTCTCTAGTTATTTTAGTTTGAATATATATATTTGATAAACATAATTGTATTAAGCATAAAATATTTGATAAAAATTTGGCAAATATATAAATATTTATATAAAATAATTTGTTCATTTGTTTTAATTGGATTAGATTAGAATTAGATTTAGATTAGAATTTAATTTGTTTTAATTTTTGTTGTGTTTATTTTTCGTATTTCTGCCTATATTAAGTAATCATTTAATATCGAAAACAATGGTAATAATCAACTAACTAACTATCAAATTTAGTTTATTATTATTAGTTGTTCTTTATTAAAAATTGTTTATACTGTATGGTTTTATTTCAGTTAAAATTGTGTAAATTAAGTGCAAATTAGGTTCAATAAAAGAGAGATTTTATTTTTATTATTTAAAATTTATTATTTTTTCTTTTTCAAAAAAATATTTTATTATTTAATAGTTTCAGTGGATTCAGTGGTAGCGCATGTAAATTACTGCATCAGTAATTGTTTTCAAAGTACTCGTTTTTTCATTTAATGCTAAAGTTAGCATATTTTTTTAATGCATAAATGTCGGAGGCATAAATAAATACATAAATGTATGCGAATTTTGCTAATGTTTTCGATTTGGTTTTTCTTCATTAATCAGCTATAGAATTTTGTCGTAAAAAATCATCAATGCAATTGGTGAAAAAATAAAAAAGAAAGGAAAATATTTACGATGGGTTTTTCGAGGGAAAGTGCTATTTGATTGTTGAATTGTTGAAGAATTATTTCTTGTTTTAAACTAAATCTTGCTCGTTCACCATTAGAATAGTTTATTCTTTTTTTAAATGGTTTGTTTTTTGACTAATAAATTTTGATTACTTCATTTACGGCAAATAATTATTAGCAGAAGTCAGATCAACAAGGTCGCATTATTGTTTTATTGTTTGGCTGTAGTAATTAATTTATATGCTTATATGCTTATAAAGTAATCAGATTTCTACAAACTTGACGAAATTGAAATTTTCCAAAATTTTTATTCGAATTATTTTCTAAGAAAAGGAGAAAATATTTAAATTAAATAAAACGATTTTCAAAAAAATCAAATTTTTTCAAAAAAAATTTTTTAGTTTTTTGTTAAAATCTTAGCGAAATCCAGAAATTTTTTAAAAGGCTTTTTCAATTATTAGTGAAAAATTTCTCAGGAAATTTAATCATTTGTTATACTATTCAACTATTTTAATCAATTATTCTTCTAACAGCTTTCACCGTTACTGGTTAGGCTGACTTCGCTGGCTACAAGGATAAGATGTGTCCAAGCTGCTCGGTACGATGCCATCGCTAGTAGTAATAGAAGCCATTCCTTTTTCCATCGTCTAAGTTCATATATTGCGTTCAAAATCGTTTCTAACCGTACCAGTCCAGGTCTTGATTGGCCCTCCTAGCTTTTGAACAATCGGTTTTAGCAAGCAACGAAATATGCGTCAACTCCTGTGGTGCACGACAGAGAATTACTTTAACCAGCGAAGGCAATGCTCTGTGATAATATTATTAATACATTTGAGTGAAGATGGATATAATCATATGCTATTTTTATCTGTTCGACGGATCCGTAAAATATATCTTAGACATAAGTGGTCAAAGGTTGATAGCTTCTTAATATTTCCCACTCTCATTGGCCATGTTTCGCAGCAATATAGCAAGATCGAGCGAATTGCAGCAATATGGACGCAGGTTTTTGTCTTTATGGTGATTTCGTGACGATAAAGGTTTCTTACAATTTCATCCTTTGTTTGGCCATTTGGTATTAAAGTGGATCCAGGTTTTTGTGGTCAATTTTCTTTATTATTTGACATTATTTTATTGTTTATTTATACTTGCAAGTTAATATAAACAGTGAATTTTTGCTTATATTAGACATTCATTTATTCATTGTTCCACGATAAATTAAAAATTAAAAATTAAGTATCATTTTTCGGATTTTTTTCGAATTCTTAGGGAAAAATCGTCCAAGAATAAATAAATTCTTCCAAGTGAATATGACGCGGAAATCACACTATTAAGGGAAAAAACAATTAAAAAATTTTCCCATTGTTTCTCATTTCAGATAGGTTAATCATCGTTCTAACGCACCTCTTAATTTTTATAGCAAAGAAAAAAAAATGGGGATAATACGAACAATACGTGCAAATTCAGCGGTATATTCGAGATTCGGCTATTATCACTGGAGGAGGGAAGGGGAAGGGGAGGTGAATCTACCATGAAAAGCGAAGTCTGATTCTCTGGTGAAAAGACACCATCCTCTCAGTTAACGGAGCAAGCCAAAGCAGAAATGGTGAGCGCTTTTAAGAAAAGAATGTATGCGATATTAATTTCCATGGCTAATGTATAGCAAAATTTTTCGATGACATTCATCTTTAAAAATATTAAAAACTTGTTAATTAAAATTATCAATTTTTATTTGCTTCATTGCACAGTTTTAAAGTATTTCAATTTTACTGGCTAACTTTATTAATAAAGATTATTAATAGGATTATTAATAAAAAGAGCAATTAAGATAACGAGAACACGAAAAAGTGAAAATAAGAGATCGAAGAAGCATAAAAGAGAAGGAGAACACACACTCGTCAAGCTTGGATGTCGGACCACCAAACCATGGTACTTGAACAGTCGTCACCAACGCACCATTCTCCTTTTTATGCATCAGTTAGCTTTATAAGCAGACGCTAGCAAACACAGTTGTTTGCATATATCTAAAACAATAATTTAATAAATTCTAAGATATTAAATATTAAATATATATTATATAATAGTATTAATATATAATACAATATATAATAATAATAAAATATATATCATTCTTATTAGCAGAATAAAACAAGTTATTAATTTTTGAAATTTTGAGTTCCGAGCGAAGAAAGCCTTGTAAAAAGAAAGGAATTATGATACAATGAATTGAATATATCATTAAGTTGTAAATAAATATTATCAAATAAAATTCAAATAAATTCTAAATATCGTAAAATATCAAAGAATGGTTTTGGACCAAGAAATCCGACACATTAAGTCTCATTTGCCGGCTGAAGGCAGACTGAGATAGGCAAACTGCCAATTAAATGGTCCTAACTAATTTGTAACTTCACAGTGATAAAGATTTCTATTGGAAAAATTAGAAGAATGATTAATCCTAAATAGGATGTTTGTTTGAAAAAAATTTGCCTCTTTCCATTAAATAATGGACCACTTAAAAGGTTTAAAATTAATTCGATTTCGATTTTATGGTACCCACTTGCAAGTGTGCAGAATTATATCTGAAATCTGTTTTTGGCGATTTTTTAAAGCTTAAAAATTTGACAATACAAAATAAAATTAAAATGCGACCAAACTGTCTACTGGTTCCTAGGCAATAAATCAACCAGTCAATTCATTTAACTTCAGTGCGCATATTTATAAATTATGTGCATATGTGCAGAATGTGCGGTTTACGAAACATATGTGCGTATGTGCAGAATGTGCAGTTTATCCACAAATTTAAAATATATAAAATAGACGACCATCGCGAATTTCACTTCGCTCAACATTTTTAGCATTATCCATTAAAAGATGGAAAAATAAAATTATTTGATTAAAATGCTGTTAAGGGAAGAAAACAAAGTAAAAAAAACAAACAAACCAATTTTCACTTCATTATCAGTGTTCATCAGTATTCAATTATACTTAACACATAAACGCATACAAAACCGAAATTTCCGCAATGTTTGCAAATCAGTTCGCATCATTTGCCCATAAATTGTGCCTTTCTTCGTTAATATCGTCTTCATCGCGTGGAGATTTTGTCTTAAGGAAACTTTTGCAGAATTCTTCCCAGCATTGTTAAGGCATTAACTCACAAGCAGATATGCAGCTCATTTTAAGAAAATGTTAGTGCACGATTCGCGAAGATCGCGTCAATTACTCTTCACCGCGCATCTCAAATTTCGCGAACTTCACATCTGTCATTGTGATTTATGATCTCACTCACATAACGTTGCAATATATTCTATTCGAATAAAATTTTATTACAATATTATTATTTATTAATATTATTATTGTTATCATAAGTGATTTCTTACAAATTTATGAAAATAAAATCGTTCATGGGTGCTTTTTTTGTAAAAATAACACTTTTTCTAATCAAAGCGGGGATAGAAATAAAGGATAGAAAAATGAGTGAAGAATCAAGCGATCTTTCATGAAATAAGCAGTATGGAAAAATGGGAAACGAAAATTGTATTATTTGTGTTCGTTAATACAACTAATACAATTAAAATTAATTAACAAATAAATTACTTAAAGAATTAATAAATTTAACCAATTAAATTAATAAAATTAATATAATTAAAAATTTTTATTATACCTTCCTTTCCCCTCCCCCTCTCCCTCCCACGTCCTCTTCCACTCGATTTTTTAATTACAGGTTTACTCATGTCGAGGATATGAACTGAAGCTTTGCCTTATTAATATATTTATCGATATTTCATTTCAGTGAATTTATCAATTTTTTATTTTTTACGAGATATACTGAAACTTTAAAAGAAATTTTACGTAAAGAATAATCAAGTGACAAATGTCCAATTTATAGAATAAGAAGTGGATAAAAAAAACTGATAGATAACCAAGTGAAA